TTTAGAGCCAAATTACAAGATAGCATTTGAACTTCTCCTTTGAGATGGCAACATTCGTTTCATTATATAGTAAGGAGGAGATTATTTGCTTTTAGGACCACTATTTTAATACATTGTTCTGTAACAATAGCTCATATACATATCTAGTAGCGATAAAACAGCATTAAACACATATTCAATTATAATAAGCTTACAATTTTTCGCTCAAACCTAAACTTCTGTTTGCATTTTAAAATGCAAAGAATGATTTTAGATGAGGGCTAAATTAAGGTTTTCCTAGTCTAGCTCCAATTCTTTTTCACGTCAGGATTCATCTTCTTATACTTCTTAAGCAATATCCTTATTACATTGCAGTCAAATAAGACGGCTTCTAACATTCTTTCTTGCATTCTTATGCATATACATTTATTATAATTAACATGATTCTGAATTGGACTGTATTATGCAATTTCTCCTGCTCTATTGCCCTCCAATATGCCATTGGAACAGCTCCGCCAACACTTTCTAGGCCATAAATCGAATGATTCGCTTGTCTTCGATGAGGATAACGGAGGAGATCAATGTAAAGAAGGTGAGAAGGACACAATAGAAGGGCAGGTTGCGGAGTCCGATGGCAATCAAAACAAATATAAGCAGGTTGCTGGAAGAATAGCTTTGGAGATGGAGGATTGGGCTGAGGATGAGGCTGAAGAGGAGGGGGAAGAAGAGTCGGAAGAAAAGGAAGGACCAATCACATGCAGAGCGGTAGAACAGGAGTATAAGGGCGTCGCAACCGCCAACATGTGGGAGGTTATGTATCCTGAAGAAATCATGGCAGAACTTCTTCACAATTCCTTACCCACTGCCTCAGTTACCACAGCATCTGATTTGACCGGCACTCCTCTCAGTTCAGCAGCTGACATCTCAAGAGATCCGGCTGACTGGGCGACTGCTGACGAAAAGACCTGGAACACCAAGTATAATTCAGAGGCTGAACAGCAGTTGACCAGGCACGACAAATTTCATTAACTTTAGAGATTCTAGCTCGGGCAAGACCCTAAAATGTTTCAGCCCTATTTGCGAATTATGTATTGATAAAGACTTTTTATGATTCCTAATAAGAATACTATATACTTGGATAAAGTTTTAAGGAGGCCCAGCTTTTAAGCTAAAG